GCATGGTGGAGGACACGTTCACCTGTTTACAAAAGCCTTTCTGAGGTCATGAAGGCTAGACTTTGCATTGTGGCCACATCGCTGCCATCCAAACAAGTTTTTAATAAGACTGGACAGATTATCTCAGACAGAAGAAACAGGCTCAGCCCATCCAAGGTCCAAGAGATTGTTTTTTTAATGCAAACATGCCTTAAAGCAGGCCCTAAAAATATAGCCACAGTGTGTTATAAGTATCACCATTATGCTCAGTTTAGTTTCATTATTATGAACTTTAAGTTTGTTTTCATTCTCATCATGTGCTCCTTTGTTTAGTTTTCCCGCTCCTCATTATTAGTTCATTTGTGCCAGCTGTGTTCTATTAATCATCCTCGTTTGTGTTTGCTATATAAGTTGATCCCTCACATTCATTCTCTGTTTGGTCTACGTTGCTTTAGGGGGCTTTCACACTGGCAGTTTAGTTCGGAACGAGGCACGGTTCGCATGAAAAATCGCTAATGTGAACGCCGTCATGCGGACCCAGATGCGCACTGGGGTACCGAACCCGAGACTACCTGGAGGGGGTGGTCTGAGTTCGGTTGCTCCCGAACCGTACCGCGGTTCGCGTGAATGTAAAAGCAACACAGACTCAGGTGCGCACTAGTTCAGGAAGTAAAGTAACCTGCGCATGCGTTTTAGCTTATTGTGATGTATTCAGCTAAATAAAACACTTGTAAGGGATGATAGTGTTGATGATTTACCTTGGGTACGAGCGAGAGTGAGCCTGCAGTGTATTCGTGCATTGCGCGTGGAATCAGGGCAACAAATTTGGAAATCCGCTGTCTCCTCAAAAGAGTCCGTTTGCAAGCAGCAGAAGCCCACCTTATGTGACACACGCACAGTAAACCTGTATTGTTCACTCAACTGCGCATAATAGCAGCGAATTAATATAAAACACAATATTGACCCGCGTTCTGTTTTCTACGCAAACGCATCAGGGTTCGATAGAATCAAGTTGAGTGTGAAACCAGACCAACACTGCGGGGGGCGCCGGGAACAAACGCGCTCGGGCCGCAGCAAACGAGCCCAGTGTAAAAGCCCCCTTAGTGTGTGTTGCCCTGCCTGTTTGTTTAGTCGTTGTGTCTTCATCATTAAAACTTTGTGTTGGAACTGAATCTTTATCTTCTTGCCAGTGTTGCCAGATTGGAAATATCCAAATATCGTACCAGAATCACAAAATTATCGTATTTGGAAGAAAATTATCGTACACTAGTCAAACGGACAGAAAACAGCTTAGACAAGTGAGGTTGACTGGATTGTTGACGGGGGGGATGGGGGGTTCATGACGCAGGGTCTCTCGCTCTCTCCCTCTCTACCGTGCTCTCTCACCTTCACTTTCTCCTCACAATCATGACGTAGATCCACAGTAGATCAATGAGTATTAACCGAGAAATGACCTCCGATTGAAGTGTCACAAAATTCTGAAATTATCGTACATTATGGGATTTTTTTCATTATTGATCGTACATCGTACAGAGGTAAAAATTATCATACAAATACGATAATTATCGTACATCTGGCAACACTGCTTCTTGCCGTCTTGCAACCACCTGTGACAATAATATTTTTTTATTATTATTTATTTGTAAAGCCTGGCTTGTGCAATATTGCTTTTAGGCTTTATATTGTGATTTTAAGTTATATGGTTATGGTTTTTATGCTCTGTGGCTTTATAGTGTCCTTTTAATTTTTGGATAGTTATCCAATTTGTTTTAAAGCTTTGTTGGCAAAAAAACAAAAACAATTCAAGATTGTGTACAGTGTTGTAATAAGCTATGTTACAAATGCATAGGTTCCATATAGGTTTATTAAATAACTGCACATTGAAGTTATATTGTTATACTTGGCTTCTGTGTCTTTTCAGTTAAAAAAACAATTGTTTTTCAAACTAAAAACAAGTGACTCAAAATGATGCATGAATCCAAAATACATAACACTAGCCCACATTTTCTATTTTTATTCAGTGATAAAACAAATGACAAAAAATCATATAACAAGGGGATATAGCCTATCATTAGAGAAAAATAAATTGCAGCTGATCCAAAATTAGTAATAGTCAAGTCAATATATTTCCCATAGTCTATTTGTATGATATGAAGATTAGAATCCACTCTCAATCTTTGCTTTATCAAAGTGATTTCCTCCATCATATGGGAAAAGTTTAAAGCATTAACCAACTTTTTAATACCACATTCGATGTAATAGAAAATAACCATAACAGAAATTCACAAATATATTAATACATTTTAAAAAAAGATACAATTTGAGAACAGAAACGCATCACGAGAGGTGAACTAATCCTTTCTGTTTCCGGTACAGAACATGGGATGTTGCGCATGTGTGGTCAAGACAAAATGAACAAATCAGTCTCTGAGACGACTCGTTGTTCCCGAGTCAATTACAGATTTGTTCGTTCATGAACGACACATCACTAGAACACGCCAGACTGAGTGGCAGAAGAGACTGCTGCATTACTGGATTTAATAGGGGAAAGTGCGAAAACGTGAGTAAAATAAACGATTATCAGTTTAAACGGACTCGATAGTGTTCCTTACAATTGACCAAAGATCCAGTGATCCATGGATATTGACATGCAGCAGGAATCGTGTTTCCTGACATGTGCCTGATTTCAACACCAGGGAAATAAAGCAAATGTCCCTCTCAACGCTTTAAATACAATAATGGTAGTTCTATTTTGTCAGTGTTTATTTAAAAACATCCAATTATGCAGAATATTAGATGATAAATATTTATTTGATGACAATACAATATATAGGGTATGATTTTACCCCTAAATTCAGCACAACATGATACTGTAAATCCACGTTTCGCTGCCTGGATCTAGTTGTTTCTGTGAATTGCAGTGATCCATTTGCTTCTCTTTTCTGTAGCTGTCTAGCCTGACTTCGTCATACTCATATTCTAGTCAGAATGTGAGTCTGATACTGCTCCATAGGGCTTTGATTATGAGGCGTGTCTTAACCGAACCAGGAAAAAAAAAAACCTCTGCACTCAATTGGATAGACCTACAACCAATCAGAGCAACGCAGTAAGTGTATTTTTATGAGCTACGCAAATTGAACTCATCTACACGCACGCTGGAAGAAGTAGTAAAAAATAATGAGTGTTGCTTCTTTTACTTGGTCCTCCATGAGTGCGACCAAAGGAGAAACCACAACGACCACAGGGTTTTCATTGCGTCCCATCTTCTTAGCGACCATCGGAGCCAGCTGATAAAATAAACTTTTGCCGAATCCCGTAGTAAGGACGGCAAACACATCTTTCCGATCGACAAATGCCTTGATTGCAGTTCTCTGTTCGTCTTTTAAAATGAATGCGCTGACGATTTCTTTTATAACAGACGCGATAGCGGAATCTACACATCTCAGTTCTCCAGCTGCAGTCATCTCTGAGGGAAACCAGTTCAACCCAAGCGCTCTTTGATAACGTGATGATTACGTAAATGCAGATCATCTGTCCATCATCGTATAAAGCCCGCTCTGGCAATTTGATTGGCCCGACTAATTCTGAACCGATCATAATTACTCCTCAATGGATCGAGTCCAGACCGAACTTCCCGACCAAAAAATGTTGTGGGCGGGGTTCGGGCTGGCATCCAGGCTAGTAGCTTTCGGCAGTCTGTAAAAACCTCAGATTTCTTGTCAAATTTAGTTGTTGTAGGATTTGCCTGAAAAAAAGCTAGGAAATAATTTTTCTCAGATATTGCTTGTAGATTTGACAAATAATTACAAAAGCAAAACAAAAAAACAACATTGAATTAAATGTGATATTTTAAAGTTTAAGACTGAAATGTTATTTTCTTGTGTAACCGGCCCAATTCTGACCACTGTTACGATCTGCGTTGTGTTTAATTGACAGAAGACACGGGACACTGGAACTGCTTCTGACGGAGGGTTTATTATCATGGAGCCATGTAGATGGTACTGGATAGATTAAAGAGGATACAGCAATGAGACAAGTTTTCTCTGTGATTTTATCACCTCTCCTCAGCGTGCTCAAATTAGTCTCAACAACCATCACAAGGATAATAATAACATATCAAAAATACAATGCATGAAAACATGTTGCAAACATTAAGTGCAAAATGAATTGTCACAAGTATTTATCATAGCCTACAATATAATCTCTTGCAGCTAATTTTAAATCAATCATGAATTAGAAAAGAAACAAATTAATACAAAATGAATACATAGGAAGATTGAAAGATATAAACCATACCTGGATAGATTAAAGAGGATACAGTAATGAGAAAAGTTTTCTCTGTGATTTTATCACCTGCACAGATTAAAGGCCAGTTATATTAATCAATCAGTTAAAATCACCACGCTCTGTTGACGCACACACATACTCAAACTGCTGTACTCAGTAATAAAACTATCAAATCCTATCCATCCATTCATAAAACACTTCCTAGGACATGTTTAACAGTCTTAACAATAATATTACTGCATATTATGAACTTAGTCAAACTTCTGAGAACTTTTATGCCTATATTGGAACAGCACCTCTAACTGCTTACCTCTCCTCAGCGTGCTCAAATTAGTCCGAGCCGAGGACGCAGCGTGAGCTGAACGATAATGACGTCAGTACAAATAAATCAAAATTTATTTCCCAAATTGACACTAACGATGTTCAAATCTAAATTATAGCGTTTTCTTAAACAAATTAGTATAAAGTAAATAAATAAAAATGTGACAGGAAGGATAAGTGAAATACATTCATTTACATTGTGAATATTTAGCCTACTCATGAATATTAACATCCGTCACACTTGCAAAAATATTTGGTAACACTTTACAATAATGTCTAATTTCTTAACATTAGTTAACGCGTTAACTATAAATTAACAACAAGAAAAATATCTTTACAGCATTTATTAATCTTTGATAATGTTAGATAAAAAAAAAAATCATTTTAGTTCACGGAGCATTAACTAATGTTTACAGATACAACTTTTGATATAAAAAATTTAGTAAATGTTGAGATTAACAAACAGCATATAATTATGGTTCATTGTTAACTAATGTAGGTAATTAATGTTAACAAATGAAACCTTGTTATAAAGTGTTACCAAGTTTTCTAATCAATTTAGCTTTATTTACAACTTCAAAGCATTTTTTTTTTTACAGTGTTGAGTCCTCTTTCACTTTATGCCCAGAAGGGATAATTCTTGCTCCTGGATTTTCAGTTCTATATCACTGAGTGTACTCATTTTCCAGCTTGATTTTGAGGTTGTGGCGTATCTACCAACACATTTATTTGTCCTATGGAAGACAACACTCCATGGGATCCTGTGAATCAGGCAAGAGGTGGCAGTTGAAGGGCCAGTTCAGGTTGATCAGTTTAAGAGCTTGACTGCATTGCTGCTCAGCTGTGGAACAGATGGACTGGCATGGCTGCAGAACTCCACTCTGAGGGCTACAATGGGGCAAAAACATACCGCACACTAGCCGCCGAAAAGATTCAAAACAGGCAAGCTCCTTCAGCACCTGCAATAATATCAGAACAAATTTCTTAAATAAAAATGTAAATTGTATTGTTGATCAAGATAACTCTCTTGACTCATTGAGAACTTGCTGTCTCACCCTGTACTTGTGCAGAATAGAAGCAGCCTCTCTCTGATCAGAAACAGTCAGCCAGATGTTTGGAAAGGATGTAAGATTATAGCTTAGACCTCTGCACATTTCAACCCGGATGGGCTCACAAGATGAAGCTGAGAAGAAAAAAACAAAATAAGAATGTGATTCTTCAATAAAAGTGACTTTTGACTACTAGAAAGGTAACTTTTTATCATGATATTTCAGTTCAAGGCTTTGCTTCAGCTATATGGTCAAGTACAGTATGTTTGACATTAAATACATCTTTAAATAATATCACATACTACAGTAAAATGGGAAACAACACGGTTACACATTTATTTAATATATTTTCTAACAATTAACTATTGTTTTGGTAACCATTAACATAAACATGATTAATGCTGTTTTAAAATTTTGATCATTCTACATCATATCTTATGCATATACGAATTGAAAAGCTACCTTTTTTCTAAAGTAATTGTTAAATACTGTAGATCAATCCAAACAAAATATGAACATTTTAATATATCATTTTAAAATATAGCTAATTTTTAATAAAAGAAAATTATGCGAATAGGTGCAGCAACTCTATTAAAGTCACCATGAAATCAAAATTGACAATTCTTATTTTTTTTTACAGAATGTTGCTGTTTTTTATAAATTATTTAAAGCTGCAGTCCGAAGTTTTCCCTCTTTGTCGCCATCTCTGTTTGAAATCTGCTATTGCAATTATTCGCGGAATAATCAACTTTACGTGAGTTGTGCCTCGACACGGCACAGCGCGGATGAATCCAATGTTTGAGTAGAATATGCAGTTGTCAGTCTCTGCGCCAGTGTGGATCCTGGCATTCAGAATCATAGATTCTACTTTTTGGAAGTATGACCAACATAATAATTTTCACCGGAAAATGTAATCTGAACAAGTAAGTAACATCAACTTTTGTTCTGGTTCTGACATTGCAGTAAATCGCGGTGATTAAATCTAACAATCGCTTATCATATCACGTCAAACCGCGCATATTATACTTTGTTCTCAAATTGTTAATGTTCAAGATCAGCATTGCGTGACTACATTTAATGCCCTTCCGATATTATCCTTGTTTTCGCATGGGTCCGGTTGCAGTCTCTTTTTTTCTGTAGCCACTCCGAAGTCTTTTGCATTTTACAGCAGGTGAATCTCTAGTTGTCACTGGTGATCATCGTTTGAACATTTCTGGATCCGCCATCAAGTGCTGTGAGAAAAGGCTATAAATCTCCACCTCCAGCATCCTCACATGCAATATAGCTTATACTAGCCGAGACTCTTCTTTATGTGTACAGATGTGACGTACCACTGGAATTAAAAACATTATAACAAGCTTACCATTTTGAATCGAGCTAAGGCAAGCAGAGAGTTTTGAACACTGGCTGGATATGTATTTGCTCAAAAAATTATTTTGGATCATTTTTAACCCAAAAAAGCTACGGACTGCAGCTTTAACCATGTACATCATTATTTTTTTTTAAATTCATCCTTTGTCAAAAACTTTAACCTCCCCTCCAAACAGTTTCTCTTCACATGTTTTCCACAACTGACAGCAAACTGGCATTCAGATCGATTGATCGATTGCAGCTTCGGAGGGCTACCTGCCCGGTCAAGAGACCGCTCTGGGCAGCTTGTACCTCCCCGTTGGCAACATGGCCTCCCTCCGGGGAATACAGTCCGCGTCGACCTCAGTAGACTCGGATGTCCTGTCTGAAACAAATATCCGCAGTGGTGGCTATGAGCACGTCGGGAGTTTCGGAAAGTCGGGGGGCTTGGTGACACCCCCCACTTAGTTTTTGAGCCGACCTTCGCCCCGCGCTTTCCTGCACAGAAAGCATCCTTTCCTGGTTACGGCCTCGATCCAGCGGCCACCCCCCTTCTGCCCGACCAGAGAAGGGTTCCGCACGCGCCCTATGAGTGACAGCGCCGTTCTCAAGCCCCGGGTCCAAACGGACCAAGACCCATGTGCAGGAAGCCAGCACGTGACGGTTCTCCTTCCCGGGGCTTACCTGATTGATCCTGCCTGTAGCATATGCTTGTCTCAAAGATGCAGGTCTGAGTGCACACGGTCGGTACAGTGAACCTGCGAATGGCTCATTAAATCAGTTATGGTTCCTTTGATCGGTCCACCCGCTACTTGGATAACTGTGGCAATTCCAGAGCTAATACATGCAAACGAGCGCTGCCCTGGCAGCTTTGATTACTCTAGATAACCTTGAGTTGATCGCGCACCCTCCGCAGAGGCGACGACTCGTTCGAATGTCTGCCCTATCAACTTTCGATGGAGCATTCGGCGCCTACCATGGTGACCACGGGTAACAGGGAACCAGTGTTCGATTCCGGAGAGGGAGAGCCTGAAAAATGGCTGCTAGTAATTCAAGCTCCAATAGCCTATACTAAAGTTTCTGCAGTTAAAAAGCTCATAGTTGGACCTCTTGAGCTGTCCCCGACCCCTGCCTCACGGCGCCCTTAGCTGGGTGTGTGGTCCTCGGGGCCCGAAACGTTAACTTTGAAAAAATTAGAGTGTTCAAAGCAGGCCACCCGTCGCCGCTAAATACCGCAGCTAGGAATAATGGAATAGGACTCTGTTTCTATTTTGTGGGTTTCTGGAACCCGGGGCCAAGATTGAGAGGTACGGCCAGGGTCATTCGTATTGCGCCTCTTAGTGTGAGTAAATGATGACTTTAATTTTTGGATGAACTATACCTTTAACTGTTTTTTTTTTTTATTAAAGTGGAATAAGACATTTTTCTTTTAATGAAATAATACTCTAAACAAGGAACTAAAACTGCCAGTAGGTGGTGGTAAATGTCTAAATGAGTCATTAGTTCATTCGATTCATTCAAATGGCTGATTCATGCAGGAATGAAGTAAATAGGTGTAATTGACTTGAAGCGGTGCTGTGCAGACTGATCGGTGTGTGACATCAAAGTACCGTGAAAGTGATTCAAAAGCATACAGAGCCGTCAGCTCTCTAATCACTCACGTGGTACTTTGATGTCACACACTGATCGGTCTGCGCAGCACCGCTTCAAGTCGAACAAGCCTGATGGCTCTCTTTATAAATGGGCCATTGAATCATTGGTTCACCCGACTGATTCAGTCAAAACACGAATTCAATCAGAAACACTGTTGTTTTGCTTGGCACAGTCATTCTGCTATGGCTTTATAGGTAACCAAAACAGACAATATTGTGTCTAAATTAATTTCTTATGTATTGATCTGTTGTATAAAATCAGTATCACATTTGCACTCGGTGTTGTTTGGAACAAAAACTAACAAGAAATGGAAGCTCTAGCGTTAAGTTCTGCCAGGAAGACTCAATTGCTACGTCACTTATTACCTTCTCATCTATCCAATCGTGTCTAAGACTTGTGGTATAAAAGACCAGTACTTACACATGTCTGAGTTCGCAGATGCTGACGCTTTCATGCACCTCCATCCTCCCCACCACCACCAGGATGGTCCCTTCCCCTCCATCCTCCCCACCACCACCAGGATGGCCCCTTCCTATACCTCACGGGGGGTCGGCTGCGCCCCTGCCTTCGTCTTCAGGCAGGAAATGCAGAGTCCGGACCCTCGGATTGCGAGCTATGGACGGGGCCTACGCCAAAGAACTTTATTGCTTGCTGGGCTATCAATAAATGTATTTATTGTTACAGTATTTATTCTCCCGAGTCTTTCTGGTAGAACTATCATACGACATAAATATGAGACAACAACTCATACAGGGATACTTTTTGTCCCAATATCTTGCATTTTTTAGGCATATTTAGGTGCATCATGTTCGTCACCATCAACTGTATGAAATGTCACATGACCTACGTAGGTCTAGGTCTGGGGCAGTTGCATTAAATGTATTAAAATTGTAAGGCATTATTGTTTTTACCCCAACTAATTTATTAAATGCATTGAATCGACAGCCCTAATATATATATTTTCTCACTGAAAGGAGGGTAGGTAGAGTTAATGCAGTCGTGCTCATCTGCTCCATCTGCACAGTCATTCCATCCATCACACAGCCAATCCTGGTGAAGACACTCCCCAGTGCCACAGGCAAACTGTGTTGGACTGCATGTTCCTTAAAGCAGAAAGACATGATGCAGTGCAGCTTTACAAACTGACAAACTTTACAAACATAGAGGTTCACAAAATGTTGACAAAATTGTAAATTGACAAAAGTTGTGGAGTCATGTGGTACTCACTTTCTGAAAGTGATATGGCCTTAAATGATGCATAAAAACCACTGTCAGCAACACCGTCATCTGCCACAAACACAACAGTCATCACAGGTCCAGAAGAGGTAAGATCGGGAGGCAGTGCTGAGCCACAATACCTGCATAGAATGATAGTGGTGCATAGTATTTTGAAGTGAAGAATTAATTATAAAAATGCAGAAAGGACTGTGTGATGGTTAGGATTATTATGTTAGAAATACTGTGACTTCTGTGTTAAGTGTTGGTTAGGATTATTATGTTAGAAATACTGTGACTTCTGTGTTAAGTGTAAGTAAGACCTGTGGTGTGTTGAGGAATGGGAGTTTATGTACAACAGGGTAACACTTTAGAATAGGTCCATCATTAATGAATAACTACACAGGAACAAATGAGTAACGCACTATTAACATTCTACTATTAGCTACTATTAAAGGGGTCATATAATGCCATTTTTGTACAAGCTAGTATGATTCTTTAGGGTCTAAATTAAAAGTTTGTAATATACTTTAATTACAAATTCTCATTAGTATTGTAAGAAAACACTAATTTTACCTGGTCAAAAACAGCTCTGTTTTCAGCACGCCGTTTCAGTGCATATGACTTTAAATGATCATGAGCTTTGCTCACCCCGCCTCTCTGTTCTGTGCGTACACCGTTTGTAACACAATAACCATAACGCGTTGTTCATTATAAACGGGGGATTATGAATTATATTGAGAACATCATAAAAAACATGCCGTAATGTACCCTAAGTGTAAACCTTAGACGCATTCATTGTGAAGCGTGCAGCTAGCGATTTGCAAAGATTAATATAAATATTAATATAAAGTTTAATAAAACGTTACACTCACTTCAGTTGTTCTAGAGGTTCAGCAGGAACACGAATATCTGGTACCGATCCTTTTTTCAGGAGCAGCTTCTTAGCAAAACCAGCTTTATACTGACCCTCGTTTATAAAGCAGTCTGCTGAGAAATGATTTGCGCAAACATGAAAGCATTGGCGTTGCTCGTGGGGAATATTCCCTTCGAAAACAAAACTCAGCCACTGCGTCTTCAGCGGTTCGGATTTAGGAACATTAAAATGACTGTTTTCGATATTACACCCAAGAACAGAACACCACAATCGCTTAGACGCCATTCTGCTCATAGACAGTGCTCCAGCATATCAACAATGACCGCGCCGGTCCGCGCAGACTATGATTGACAGCTCCCTCATGAGTGAGGGCGGGTCTGTGTTGAAACGTTGCTGTCAATCAACAATCGTGGGAGGGGCTTCCGAGCGTGTGACGTCACAAGGTCGAACGGCTTGAGTTGAGACAGGGGAAAACATATAAGGAGATTAAAACAAAAACACTGGATGGATTTTTATCATTTTATGATGGTTGTGTACAGGCACTGCCAACAAACATTTCAGTACAATCAACTTGCAAAAGTGCATGTACCATTATATGACCCCTTTAACTAACAAGAAACTGCTTAACAAATTAGTAAGCAATAGCACTCAGTCGGATAAGGTAATTCACTATTCGCTAATCAGTAACTGGGTCATTGACGAATAAGGTATTTAAAAGTAAAAAAATATAATGGAGATCTAACTAATTTTGAAACCATTTTTTTTGTTTACCTAGGTGTTAACAATAAGATTATGTGGTTTGTACAATCAATTAACACTGCTTTTGTCATTTTTTACAGGACTGTCAAAATTTGTAACCAAAAAAAGTCATTCAGTAACCATGAATATATTTAAAATTATTAATTTGCAGATACTTATTCATGAACAAACCTGATAAGACATTGATGATGAGATGGTGTGTAACACAGAAGAAATATAAAATAACATTTTCACTGATCTCGTAAATGTATTAATTATGTATTAACACTAAACCCTCCAACATATTCAAGTAAAACATTGCACAGGGAAAGGGGAAATGTAGAAAAAAAAGCCTTATCTGCTTTATATTTGTATTATTGTGGTTCCTTTAGTTATTAAAAACAATATTATTCAATTTAAATATTTAATATATCGGTTATACCGAATGACTATGTCCGCTGCCCTTGACATTATGAATATTTAAGACAATAAACAGACACAAATAGCTTCAAAACAGCTTCAAAACAAATTTTATTGTTAATATAAAGGGACACTAAACCCATTTGCATTAAGCATTGTATCGTTAGAAACCCAGTCATATTTTTGAATGGTCGTGTATTATTCCCTCATTTTTCCCTGAGACGGGAGAAATAAGAATTTCAGTGTTGCAGTTCCTGCTTATAATGATGTAAAAATCGTAATTTTGCATCATTCTAAGCAGGAAGTCCCATATCTTGGTAGAGGGGTGTATGGTGTGTTCTATTATTTATCCGTCTCGGAGATACGAATCGGAAGACAGACGTTGCCTAGCAACACGCCCCCTTTCCTCGGATTTCTCCTCTCGGACGTCGGACAACCGTGAGGACACCGAGCAAGAATTCCGTTTCGGAATTCAAGATGGCTGCGCCCTGTGTGAATTGTAAGTGAATTGTTTTCATTGCTTTTGAACCGCTTTGGTATTTTAAATGACGAATATAATCACTCGTATTACTGCGTCCCCTGTAGGTATGGAAATCGGTTGTTGTGAGTGCAATTACTAACGTTGCTAACAGAAGATTAACATGAAAAACATTAAATAAAGTGAACACCTGAACACATTTTCATTATTAAATAAAGTGAACACCTGAACATTGCAGGTGAAGCACATACTTATTTTGGAGCGCCTGGTACTTGGCCAGTGCTACCATTACAACAGCTTTCCGGGTGGCGTCCATTTTTTTCTCCGACTCGGACGCGCAAAACATAATAGAACGCTTGAAGTGTGGACGTGACGTCATATCGAGGTCCGAGTCGGTTCGTTGGCTATAATAGAACGCACAATGAGACTACAAACACCTTATTTTCCCAGGGGGTGGGACCCACTCACGCTACAGACCTATTACAGGTCAGTGGGTGGGACTTCACTTTCTGAAACTAAAAACAATATCCTCCATCTTGTTTGGAAGCTAAGCTAACAGGCGCTGTGGAGCCAGATGTAAAGTTATAGATGTATATGTAGCTAATCAATATGATATGGAAGAAGAGGATTTCTGAAGTCTGATGGTCGAATCAGATGTTCGTGGCTACTTTTACGAAATTTATTTTACATTTCGACTACATGTATGACCCACTTTCAATAAAGATGAATGTTCCCACAGGTGAAATGCTCCTTTAATATAATAGGCTATTAATGTAAAAAGTACTTCAAACATTAAAACATTTTATTTATATTGGAATGAACATATTACCATATCTCGTATTGCAGATTATATTAATTAAAACATTGAAGCATTTAATTTAATTGTCCTTGGAACAAGTGTTTAAATTGTTAAACGATGAGCTGCTAGGATATATATTCATGAAAAACAACGTCAAACATTTACCCTCTGGGGTCGGCAATCACGCCGGCGTGATCTGCTCGCTTTTTTTCTTATCAGTGCAAAACATACTCAAAATACTCTGTTCATTTTGATCTTACATATAAGTGTTACACATCATTCAAAACTGTTAAATGTCTTCTTTTATTTGTGTACACATAATAAAAACAAAATGTTGTTTTTCGTAAAATAAAGAAAATAAACATGATGCGCGTTCTCCCGTCTCTCTCAATGTGAAGTTCATTCTGAAACGCGACAGAAAATGACCTATAACTCAGCGAATGCTTGTCACTGTGACATGAAACATGTCTTTACGAAGCTTGACGTCTCCATTTTTGAATGATGCAAAAAATGATGTAAATCATATCAAAAACAAATATTCTCTATGTAATTTGTATGAAAGCAACGTCATGTACAGTTTCTCCAGCCCGAGCTGATTAGCGCTAATGTGACCACGCCCACACGCGGGCAAGAACTGTTCACATGCAAATGATCCACGCGGAGGAACGCATAGCTGTTACCGCCCACATCACCTCACTGAATCAGCGAGTTCAGTCCTGCTCTGCTTTTCATCAAGTTGTTTGTGCCGTGCGGTTTACCTGATTTACCTCAGAAGAATTAGAAGAACACGATTTGATTGAGAGCGATTTTTTTTGAGGTAAAACACTAAAAGAAGCATGTTTTTGTTGCATGAACTTTACATTGTAGATACTAGTTAAACTGGTGCCAGACTAAAATGTACGTTATGAAATGTGATTGTAAAAACATGAAGCCTAATGCGTTCGATAATTAAACACAGCACAATATAAAAGTAGGCTCGTATGAGTGTTTATTCATGGTGAATATTATAATGTTTAGACCTGTGTTTACTGTTAAATACTGTGTTTGTGGATATCTGCTCACACGTATAATATGGTAAGAATAATGTTTCATAGTTTGGAGCGACTCGATCGCTTCAGTAAATGTCCTCTGCACGCGCTGTTAGTTTGAAAAGATAAACGCACCAAACTTCATGTTTTTATTCCAATCTCATTTCATAACGTCGTAACGTATGGAAACGTTTGAAGTAACATATGATAATCCATATATTTTTCTCTAGTGTAGTACTGAAGTGTTCCCTTTTAACGATTTATAGGCTGCCTGCTATCTAGGCTATTGTTAATATTTTATATAGCCCCCCCCTACACATATATACATGCAAGGCACAACAAACTTGGTGTTCATATATATATATATATATATATATATATATATATATATATATTAGGGGTGGCACGGTACATGAAAAAACATCCGAACCGTTCGGTTCGCTTGTCTCGGTTCGGAGCGTGTGTGCGTCTCACGGTTCAACGCATGCGCAATGTAGCCTCGTGCCCGTATGTGACCTCAGACGTGTGTTTCCTTTTCGCGCGAAATAAGACGTGTGTGGACATACATATGAGGCTTGTTCGACTTGAACCGGTGCTGCACAGAGCGATCGGTGAATGCCATCAAGTACCGCGAGCGCGAAGGCTCCGTATGCTTTTCAATCACTCTCGCGGTACTTTGATGTCATTACCGATCGCTCTGTGCAGCGCCGGTTCAAGTCGAACACGCCAGTAAAAGTGGAGTATGGAGTGCTGCAGGTCACGTCACGCGGAGAAGTGGCAAGTGGGAGAGATAAGGAAGGCTA